TGTCTGTTCTTATACTCATACATCAGGCAAGGGATTGAAGGCTAATATATAACTACACAACAATTATTTCCACAACCCCGAGTGAGGTTTCTCACTCCTCCCTTGCCTTGATGAGAAGAAGTCGAAGCGACAACAATCTCCGGTTGGTCTTTTTCTCTTTGATCTTTAGAAAGCATAAAAGGGAATGAATAGAGCCAGGAATGAAAAATGTAGAAACAGACTCCTGGCACCACCTTTTTTACTTAAAAATAAATAATAATAATAATAATAGTAATTAAAAAATGACCAAAATGTCTTTCATCCCCTTCTCATAAAATAATTAAAATAATTAAAACATATTTTCTCTTTTTTAATAAATAAATAAACATAACTCTTAATAAAATATATTTTCATGAAAATACATTCCATATCAATTAATCAAAAAACTAATTAAAAATCATGCTTTATATATATTTTTTTTAAAAGAGCTCATATAAAATAGATAAATAATATAAAATATACTTCTCATTTTTAGTAAAATATCATAAATTTTATATCAAAATAAAGCTCATATTAAATAGCTAAATAATATTAAAAATTATTCTAATAAATACATTAAAACAAATACTGACATATTATTAATATAATTTTATGAAAATCAGGGTGTTACATAGATATGTCATTTACTATTTTAAATAAATACAAAACCGCAATGTTTTAGCCTAAATCTGACAACCTAACCTTTGTTCACTAATTTGAATATAACTTGATTTCTAGACCTCATTTTTAAGTGATACAAATAGAATTTGAAAGCTAACATCCAAAGATACAAATTTCATGAAGATCACAAAACCTAATTATGTCATTTAAGTCTACTCGAAAAGCTTACAATGTATGCACATTATATTTGACGCACAAAATGCGAGGTTCGTCTTTTAACTCACATAACCAGGCATTCCTTAACATTTTTATGTGATTCTTGAGTCTAAACTATAACTCTAAATGTCTACTTTCTAACCCAACAATAAGAACTCAATTTTATTAATCACACGCAAAGAAATCTGATAAATACCTAGGTATGTTCATACAAGAATTTTCAGTATCTGAAGCAACTCACATTCAAACTCTTTTCTCTCAATCCAATTGGTAAAAATCATGATTTAAGCTTAATATTACTCTACTATACCATCAATTACTCAAATAAAACATCAAATTCACATTCTAATTATATACCTCCATTAACTAATCACACAATAATCATTTAGGGTTCTCATGGGAACCCACAAATAATCCAAATTTCATAATGATACGTTTAATCACGAAATTGGAGACATATACAATTACACCACATCAAATAGATAACGAATCATATAAAAATTTATAAAACACATAATGAAATCTATTGGGGAAACCCTTTGCATACAATACAAGTAACAGAAAAGGGATTAGGGGTCAATCTCACTACCCGACATACAAATTCACACCTAGAGTGAGGTTTCTCACTCTTCTCTTACCTTGTTGAGCAGAAAAAGATAGATGATCGACTCTAGGGTGACTTCCTCCTCCTTCAAGTTCTCCGAACTCTAAAGCATAAACACGTATGTAAAAGGTGAGAACAACCCTTAAAAAAAAGAATTATCCTCCTTTTAACCATTTAGTTTAAAACATTAACCATGATTATCCTAAAAATTCCTTCTCTTATTTAATAAATAATTAAATAATATAACCTTTCCTTGTAAAACCCCACAATATATTCATATAAAAAATAATTACCAATAGTTACTAAAACCAACATATTTAATTAGCACAAAATATAGTAATTAATAATAAAATAAATATTAATTAGCTCTTATTAATAAAAATAAAATACCAAATTATTAATAAAATATCTATATTATATTTTATGAAAAATGTGGTGTTACAAGATGGCCAGATCCAAGACATGGGGAGAGGGGTTGAATTAGATTATTAAAAAATCCATCTAAAAACTTTATTGGATTAAAATGTTTCTAAATATTTTCAATTGACTCAATTAATATTAACAAAGTTTGGGATAAGGATGTTAAAATTGGATTGTGCAAGACACTAATGAATTGTCCTATATGATGTTCTTTCAACAAAACAAATTAATATATGATCAATATTAAGACATAATAATCAAATGAATCCAAGATAGGTCAATAAAAGCTTGTACTAAATTTTATACTGGTTCAACCATAACTATTGTAACTTACATTCAATCTCCCAATCAACTCGATTGAGAATTTCACTAAATCTTTAAACTACAAAGTTTTGTAATCATAATCACAATTTACTTATGGAAGTGGAAATAACCTCACTTCTTAAACTTCAAGACACACCTTTCTAAAAAGCCCACACTACAAGTAACCTTTTCATCTTGAGAAACCTACTAAGATATTTACAAAAAAAAAAAAAAGGAACGATATCACCTAATGAATAGGATCAACAGAACAAGTGAATAACAAAAATTAATAAAATCTACAATCTTCAAATAGGTTGATGATGACCTATGCACTCTTGATTCATATTAGAAGAATCCTCAATTGGTCAAATTTAGTTTCTATCAATCTTCTACCAAGAATTCACTACTCAATATCCAACTTAAGTGTTTAAAAGTGTAAAAACTAAGTTATCTTTAAGTTTTGAAGTAAAATTTGTTATATGGAGTTTTACACCTAAAATTGTCAATTATTTAAATAAATAATTGAGAATTTTATTCTTCATGGATCTGGAAACCTGTCAAGAAAACTTTAATTGATTATTTTGTAGGATAATCGGTTATTTCCAAAGATGTCATAAAACATTGCAGAAGCAGGGGAAGTAGTCAATCATTTTTTAAGAATTGATTATTTTAAGTAAGAACTTATCTTTTCAAATTTTTACTTCCATTCTTTTCTAAATCCATTTTAAACCTTATTCTTATTACAAATTACATTCTTTCAAAAGGCTTATATGAACCCATTTTGTAATCATTAAAGCACTTGAACTTGAACAATAATGTATAATCACAAAACCACATTACATGTTATTTTAAACTTACTTAACGAAGTATTAAATAACTCAGAGTAACTTTATCTCACTCTTAATTAAGAAATTAAAGTAAACGAGATTATTTTTTTCTTGATAAAAATGTATAATTCTTTCTCATCAAATTGACTCATATAATAATAAGTAGTACTTTCAATTGTAACTTCATGTTCAAAATAAAAATTCAACCCCAATCTTTAATTAAAGATCATAAATATTTAACTACTTAAATTAAGATCTTAAATGTGAAAGGAAAAAATATTTATTAAAAAAATTATTGTTAAGAAAAAGAAAGCAGCGTAAGTGGTAAGTTGTAGATATTGGGAGAATTTTTTACCATTATAATACTTTTTTTAAAAAAAATCCCAAAAATGAACCCCCTTCGAACTAAAACTCTTTTCTGTAGTTTTCGGAATTCAATTTTCGGGAAACTGAATTCTGAAAAATATATTTTATTTTTTATATATATAAATTATTTTATTAATTATATAAACTTGTATATAAAATAATTTATAATTATAAAATTAATATATGAATAATTTATAATATTAATAATTTATACTATTATAA